ATAGCTGGATTAGATCGTGAACAACACTTATAGCTGGGTTTTGACAAATACTCGTAGCGAACCCATCCTCCATACACACTAGAACGTTTTCGAGAATCCAAATCTTACCAGGGCTGGGCTTACTGTTTAGAGCTTGTGTTCTAAGCTACGCCGCAACGCTTACTTACCCATGCCACCCAGCTCTTCGCCAAGATACAAAAACCCTCTAGCCAGCCTCAAGGAAAAGAGGCAAGTCAGTTTACAAAGAAGCTCAACTATCCAGTACGCCAAGTTGCAAGCTGACTACTCGGCTAGAACTATGTATTTGGAAAACTGGTTTGGTGCTTACCAGAGAAGCTGGGCAACTAGGTACGGAGAGTTATAGAATCCCGCTCCGGGAACACGATTGGCTAATGGCCGGGCGGCTCGGACCGACATATACGGTAGGTGTTATAGTCAGTAACGGAGTCTGGGCGGTGGTTCTCTATTATACGGAAACTTTGACATATCCGTTACGCAGCACATGATAGCATCTGAGTGTTCCTCTGCTTCGATTTCGATTTCGATTTCTTTTTGATAAAAACGTTGCATCAATTTCCCGCTCTACACGTGGCGCAAAACGTGTTTCTTATGCATGGTCCATATTCACCAACCGTTCTGGTCTTGAACGAGTTAACCCCTATTGTCTTGAGAACGCTATTCAGGGTCTTTTGTCCCTTGGCTCTAAGTCAGTCTCCTCGAAACTTCGCATGGATATTGCCTGCCCGCCGAGACAATGAGGCTTGCCTGCCTAGACACAATGTGTGAGACTAAAGGTCCTTCACCTAGATTACTGTCCATCCTTCGATAAGATCCCTCGATTACTATGTAGATCCTGTAGTTCAGTTCGTAGATATGATTATAGATGGTAGGCTATCATTGCTTGGCCAATAATACACAATACCCCCAGGAAGTCTCGTCGATCTGTAATTAAATACCAGAGGGCCTACCCTTCCCCAGATCTGTTCCCATTCCTCTCCATCAGAATCCTCCGCATCTCACAGACTTCCTAGTTGTTCAAGTGTTTCCTGCGCCATCGGCCGTAGCTTACCCGTCGTCATCTTCTATAGCCAACCCACCACGTTGCTATTCTAGCATTTCGACAGCTACAAAAGGGGATTCGTCCGTTAAGCCTCTCGACCCACGTTCTTAAACGAATATAACAAAATGTCTTCGCAAGTCTTCACCACCGAGAGGGGGGACATCGAGAAGGGGTCCCAGCAGACCATCTCCTCGCCGCCATCCATCCCGCCGTATGTGCCCACGAAACTCGCCTCGGCAAACCCCCTGGGGTTGCTGGCCTTCGCAACGAGTCTGTTCATGTTGTCTCTCTTTGAGCTCAAGCCTCGTGGCATTGAGACCAACAACATCGTTATCGCCAACATGATCTTCTTCGGTGGCATTAGCCAAGTTATCGCCGGAATTATCGACTTCGTTGCAGGCAATGCCGTACGTAGCTCCCCCCCTCTGATATTGATATCATAAAAGACTGACCTTTTATGCTTTAGTTCGGTGCTACTGTCTTCAGCGCCTACGGTGCCTTCAACCTGGCCTACTCCTTAATCTTCATTCCGGGAAGCGGTATCCTAGCCGCGTACGCCGACGCCGAGACCGGCGGCCTCAAGCCCGAGTTCCACCAGGCCGTCGCGCTGTTCGTGTGGCAGTGGTTCATCATCACTGCCATATTCACCATTGGTGCGATCCGTGCCAACTACGTCCTGCTCAGCGTTCTTTGCTTGGCCGATGTCACGCTCATCCTCATCGCTTCCGGCAACATGACTGGCAACGAGAACCTGCTCAAGGCTTCTTCTGGATTCGGCTTCGCCTCTGCGGTTCTGGCTTGTGAGTTTTTCCCCTCCCTTGTTTTTGCCAAGGAACTTGAAAAAAACTGACTACGTGAAGACTACGCTGCGGCTGCTTATCTATACGTCGATGGAACGACGCCTTTCACTCTGCCGCTTTTCCCGATCAAGAGGGACTAAGTCTCCTTTGAAAACTCATTGGGGAAAATCAGATGTTTCTTGGCGAGGGTTTCGTGTTTATTCAACATCCCGGGGGTGTGTGAGTTTTAGAGCTGTGTGATTTAGAAGATTCTCCTAGCTTTCTCTCTCTCTCTCTCTCAATATGTCTTGTCACAATTTGATAACGGCGGGTGGCGAAGGGAATGGAGGAAGCAAGAGGCTGGATTAGACTTTGTAGATAAAAAGGGGACTGCCTCCACAAGCGCGATAAGAACGTTCTACGACTGTTCCGCGGTGGCAAAGTATATAATGTTTTTCTGGATTATACGATAGGAATGTATGCTGCTCTTCTTGGAAATAATAACACCTAACCTAAATGTTTTAGTGAGTGCCAAGAAAAGTTATAGTTTTCCATTAAATAAACTGTTAATCAACAGAATCATTCGACTGCCAAATAGCCATCCACGTAAAACATATAGACCACAATCGTCAGGACAAACTCCAAAAAAAAAAACCAAGGCTCCTTAAAGATGGTACGGGTATAAAATTGTCCTTTTATACCTACCCTTGCTCCAGACTTCTCATGTCCATATTTCTAACCCTCATATAAGCTGATATGATTCCATCGATACCATCGACTCCTAGCCCAGCAAGTACTTAACAACACTTCCTTATATCATCTCGTGTAAATTCCGATTTCGCGATGACTTTGTAGTAGTTGTCTCGCAGCTACCTGTTGTTAGCATATTACAACGCTCAGCGTTGACATATTCCGAATAACTCACCTGGACAGTGTAACCCTCCTTAAATTTGGCGTTTAGGAGGTCTTCAAGCTTTGAGGCATGGATATGACGGCCACTGAATTCAGTGACACACTCAGGCGATTTATTTGACCGGGAGAACCATCGTTTAAACATTGTATTGGTGATAATGTTTTTCTTTGTAGAAATGAGAAATTTCTAGATGGTTTTTGCAGTACGATGGAAATGTTGGGTATGGTATGGAGGCGGAAGCAAGAAAAAACCCCCAGATATGCGCGGACATTCGGCCAACATAAGGGTTGGGTTATTTTTATAGACGAAGGGAGCTGACACTCTTCCCTAGCTGCCTAGTCATGTGGTCCGCAAAGGAGAAAAGACCAGGCAAACATGACATAAGAGAAAAATTCATGATGTTATTCTAGTCAGGTGTGAATTTTATGTTTAGGTCTACAGGAAACTCACTGCCACTCATGATACATGATTAAAGCAGATAACCATTTAGCTTATGAATGGCGCCCTTGTTCCTAGCTAGTCTCGTACTGTCTTTCCTTGTTATTTAGCAACTAAAATCATGATATAAAACAGCCTTGTGAATGGAAGTGCATTGCAATTCATGAGAGTTGTACGAAGCACTAAGTATGGTGTGGTAAAAGAAGTTGATTTCCACAAGTTCGACCAAAGACCAAAAATAAAAAGGGGAGAGGGCCCCTGCATCTCGACTGCTGGGTGGGACGATTGGTCGCGCCACTGCAAAGTTCTCGCCGTGCCTTTTAACGAGAGCATTATGAAATCTGTTTAGGGCGAATCGCTTCGACAGACAAGAGGCATGCTCAGTTCCTAGCTTTCTGCAGCCAAGACCGGAATCCCTAGTGTGCAAAAGGATACGCGAACACTGTCATTAAACGTGCTTGCATCCACCAGCTTCCGGAAATCATATGACTTTTACGGCCCGGCAGACCTTACCGCCAACGATGTTGGCAGCTATCGTGACTTTCTCCAAACTGTTCTCGATAACATTATCCTTTTGATGCTAGCTCTGCGGCGTTTTTTAACCGGATGTTTCGTGCCGAAAGGTTGGACTAGGATTGGTGCTGCAGCAGCAATTTTCAAGATGTAAATGATAAAAATGTTTGAAGAATAAACACTCGCCTGTGGCCAAGGTAAACAGGGCTCTGGTGGTATCATGACCGCTTTCGTGCGAGCTTTAGATATACACGACCGAGAGTCTTCTACAGCTAGCCTGAAGGATGGTAAGGCCAGAAAAAGGTCTTTCAGCTAACAAGATATATGGAAACCTGTTTGTCATCAACTTTGCCGGTCATAGTACAACCGTCAATACCCTAGCATTCGCTATGTTGCTGCTCGCCGCACACCCCAAGGTTCAAGACTGGATATCCGAGGAGATCATGACTTTGACCAGTGACATACAAGCCGAAGAATGGGATCACAATGAACTCTTTCCACAACTTAAGCGGTGACAGGTGTCGTGCCGTTTTACTCGAGACCCTAAGGCTCTATTCGTCTATCATGTTATTGCCTAAATGGACCTTATTGAGGGCTCAAACGCTGAAAGTTGGAGACCGAACACTTAATATCCCCCCGGTATTAGCACAATCCCATATCTTCATGCCGTTCAGGCACACCCAAAATACTGGCCTGATCCAAATATCTGGAAGCCTTCCCGCTGGATCATCCGTCCATCTCCCACAGACCAGATCCACAACAAGGAGCTCCTGGAGCCAAAGCAGAATACATACTTCCTATGGTCAAGCGGTTCCCAGAACTGTCCCGGAAAAAAGTTTTCCGAAGTTGGGGCGGTTGCTGTACTGGCTTGTCTCCTTAAGTCGCATCGCTTAGATGTAAAAAGAGAGGCGGAGGAGAGCAAGACAGCAGTGTGATAGCGGGCTATGGACTGTACCGAGGATGTTATTAACATGGAGATGTTGACAAGAATGACGGATCCGGGATCGGGTTAGACTAATTTGTAGCAAGGTGTAATTGGGCAATTATGTAGGAATACAATGATTCTAGGCCAGGAGACTCGTCTATTGTAGTTACCATCATGATCCCGGTATCCAAACCGAGAACTAGACTTAATAGAATATAAGGTAGGTACATCAATATAAAAAATATATCTTAGACTCTTTTCATACTTCAATTCTAGTAGCAGTAGCAGTAGTGATAGAAAAATGAAACAAAAAATATTTCCACCTCACCCATGGGTAAGTGAATAGCAGGAGAAGCTACAAGTTGTTGTGACTGCACTGACCGCGAATCGAACGCGGGGCCCATCGATGGCAACGATGGATTTTACCACTAAACCACCAGTGCTTGGCATCCACTAGCTATTGCTGCAATGGATAAAAGATAACCAGCATAGAATAATATATTAATGATGGCATTCTCGATGGGGATGAAGAACTTTGGTAGAAGGGACGGTCATGGCAGGATATAGGTTCGAGTAACTGTTGATAAAAAGTTGTTAAGTAGCATGCTTCCCATTGGCTCATGAAATGTTGTTTTATTCTGGTCAAGTCGAATATACATGACTGGCAGTTATATGCGCACTTGCAACAGGGCTAACTCGATAATCCTTTCTTTTATCAATATTTGAGGGTAACATCTCGATTAAAAAAGGGTAGGTATACACTTGGTTAGTGGTAGCCGACGTCGATATCCCAAAAGTCTTTGATATATCACACGAGAGGCAGTTTCTTATGGACCCTACCCTTTCGTTCATCCATTGTGCATACGTAGATTCGACAGTACCGAACAGCTCGGAACTTTGGTTCTAGCCCTTGATCGTTGCTACATCGGCTGCAAATCTCAGGTGAGTACCTCGGTAGGTATGCATGATGGAATGTTATCCTTGCTCAAAGTCTACATAAGTGCTTGAAGGTTTACAATAGCACAATGGTTTCTACGGAATGTGATTGGATGCTCATGCTGTCGAAGACATTTACGACGAATGCAAGCCTTTTCAGGATGCCTGCTGTTCATACTTGAATTATAGAAGATCTCGGTGCCCTATTATGGTTAGATCCTCGCATATTATATGCCATCAACCGGCTCTTCTAACTTTCTGAGCTATAGTCGTATATGATAATGCAGCATGCTGTGATATCTGATCAATATGGGCAGTGATAGTCAGTTATAATGACTGAGTTACATTTTTTGTTAGACATGAAGGTACGAGTAAATAGAAATATACGTAATGAAGGTAGTAGTATATTGACTGTTACATGCATTCGGTTCATATCAAAGGCCCGGCCTGAGGAACGAGTAATGGCACCCTAGAGCCCTTTGCTTTTATTCAACCCCCGGGGTCCGTGGGGGTTTTTAGGCAATAGCGGGAGACATACTCGATCTAGAAGATCTTTAGGATTGTCTCGTCTTATGCATGCCTGTCTTGCATGATTATTATATGCCCTTTGTAGAACACAAGAACGTGGTAAGGGAGGTACTACTACCTATTATTGCAACATCATTGTCCGGCAATTCAAGTGAAGTACACTGCATATATTCTAGAAAAGCTAGGATTATTTGCTACAGACTTCAAGGGTTTTGTGATGAATTCAAAATAATGAGCGGATAGATACAGCTTTCGAGACTTGGTTCAGAACACTCGGTATACCTACACTCCAACTTCCTACTTTTACTGTACAACGCTTTTTATAAGAAGTTAACACCATCCTCAGAAATGAGGAGGATGACATGTAAATAAGCCTTGGCAGCAGTCTTTGGTATGACAATCTCCGCTTGTACAAGATCACCCAGAGTGAAGTTCAGTCCTGGCCGATCTTGAGGAGACTTGGTAGGTCCTTATTTGGGTTCTGACGAGAGTGAAGCTTATGCCTACACCCTTGCTTCGGGACGCCACGGCCGAGCGCTCGAGAGCTTATATTACGTGCCTACGCCAATCCCCGCAAAGTCAAGAAAAAGCAAAGAAAAGGTCCCTTTGCTAAGCTCCAGGAAGCCTGCCAAGAGATCAAGTTCAAGTCTTGGTTAGCATGAATTTGTCATTGTGTGAATCCTAGAATATCTAGGTATGTGGCATACAATCGGTTAAATATTAAAAAAGCATCTTTGTATTCTTAGCACAAGCCTAAAGGTTTAACCTAGGGACATAAAGGAAAACATGAAAGAAAACAAGTCTGAAGAAAAAGTAGATTCAAGGTGATGCAGGGTCTGTCTAGCAGATAGAATATCATCATATCTTATGTGACTTAAGGTTGCATACACGTGGCTGATGCGGTTCTATAGCACAAGCATCACTGCTGTCGAAGGATTCAAAAATTGGAACAGGGTATAGAAGCCAGCACCGCACAGAGCAGGGATCGTGTACCGTAAAATACTGTATGGCTCTATCAATAACGGTTTGATGAGAAGCCCAGGTGAGTTTTTAGTGTTTAAAGGAGTTGATCAAATGCCTGCCTGTGCCTCACGCATGTAAGAATCGAATAGGCTCTCGGCGTAGGATAGGATGTAATAATTCATCAGATCTTGTGAGAATATACAACAAATTGGCGGCGCTCTGATGTAGGCTATCTTTCTCTAAGGTTCTATGGCTGATTATATCGAGGTTGGACAAAAAGCATGCAACGTTACTATGCAATAAGTATCATAGTCACGATGTATATTCCAAGTCATGACATGGTGACTACAAGCATAGAGAACGAACACTCAACCCAGAAAATATTCACACTGACTAGAAACATGGAGATATAGGTAAAATCGTAATTTCAGATTTCCAAGTCCTTATCTTGTAGATTATGCGTCGTATCCTCTTCGGGACCTGAGTCGTGAAAACTACATGGCGGCAGCAACATTCACAGGTATTTCCATCTGGGTTGTATTATATCAGATACTTTTAAGTCTATGGTGAATCGAGTACATGTGGGATATGTAATAATCTTTTAGTCAACGCCTGATTGCACTACGTAAGTATGCTCGAATTCGGTATGTTTCGAAAGTTGACTCGGGTACCTACCTACCTAGAGTGAAAATAAACTGGAAGCCCGATTTCTGGTGGAAATAAGTACATTGTGCAGAATCCGGCGTTATATAAGTCAATATCATGTAGTTAATCTCGAATTTTTATATCTAGATAGACTTAGGAGGCCACTAGTATGTAGTAAGTAAATGATATCGTTGACGGGAAGTTTGCTTTAAGGTCCTACTATACTAGATATTCTTCTTCACGTAAGTATTTGGTTGAACCAAACAGTCTTGCTTGTTATGAACTTCTCTAAATAGCACCTCAGTGGGAGAGGTGGTACCTGGTATGCAGGTTCATCTGTTAGCTAGGTTCTCTATATATCTGCTAAAGACGCAGAATGTATGAGGTACGAGGGGGCTGTCAATTAATAAGGCGGAGATGTTCGTCCCTGGAATCAATTCATATTGCTGAAACATTATACTAAAGCTGAATATATTGAGTTGTTAAGATTAGATGATTGAACTTAGGTATTAATCCCCCTGTATGCGTGATAAACCATAACATCATAAGCGCAATTTCAATCACCCCTTAATTGTCTTGGTAGGGAGTCAGAGGCTTATTGGAGTGCCTCACAGCCCTGTATAACGAAAAAGCTATTAAAGATGAGCAATGAGACAACTCCCCACTCACATGCAATATCATATAATTATAGCTAGACGGGATAGCATTGTTACGAGAGATGTGCCACTTGCAAAATTTCTTCTTCATTTTAGGCAGTGCTTGGGCCGAGGCCAGGTGGCCATGCATCAAACATGTTGGTTCCATTCGCGCATCTATATCCTAACCATCACACCTGTGTTATATCATTGTGTAGCAATGGAGATGGAAGCTATAGTAGGCATGTACAAGGAGTACTCGTTCTTCTCGGCGTGCACAAACACTTCAAGCCTCTGAATGTTATGTCTCCCTCAGCCCCTTAAGGCTGTGTGACCATTGACCAACGTTTCATAACTAGATTCTGGTGGTGTTGCTCTCAGCTCTGGTTTTAAGAAGTTTATAGAAAATCCATTGGCGGTAATAATTGGTCCTTGACTATCCGTACACGCTCTAGGAGCGCGTCAAGAGCGATAATAAGATGGACAAGGCGGTAGGTGCCCGTTCTCCTGACCTGCAGGGTCCTCCGGCAGGTAGATCAAGCGACAATAGGGTGTCACAGCATGCGACGGCGGTCCCTTTTGAGGCTTGGCTGTACGCTATTATCGTGTACTCGCAAGCTGCGCACATGTGCCATGATTTCATATTTATCTCACGGCCTGTGTAGACCAAGAATCAGATGCCCCAAAGCGATGGCGCAGCAGTCAACTCCCAAGAGATCGTGTCGTGATCTCTCAGGAGCGCTCTTGCAGCCAAAGTTGCGGGCGTGCCAGTGAGGACTGTCAACCTTCTTGCTGCAGGTTACCTCGTGAGCCGCGTAGCGTCACCAGTATCTACGTCTAGCTGCAGGAGAACCGCGAATTCGCCCCTATCAGGACCCTCGGTTAGAATGTCGGTGTAGGTTGCCGGACGACATTATTCATCAAGGCTGGTAATGAGATGCTTGAGGCCACTTCATGTAGTAACCGTCGGTGTTCGGAACAGTTGCTGCAATGGAATGCAAAGAGAATAAAGTGCCTCAGAATCGCACTTGATATAAAGGGATGAATATATTATCTATTAGGGTGTACCTAAGTGCCTAAATGCTATAAGTTCATGTTACTATTAAAACTACCAAATTTCTTGTCGGGATTAAGACCATTCATCAAGGTGAAACTAAACTCATAATGGCCATAAGCTATATTTATGCGAGATAATATATAAACGGTGCTTGTATACTACTTATTTACTGCATCCCCGTAAATTCAGTTAACGAGCTGAAGGGGTGTTTCCCCTATATTTCGCCCAGGCAAGAACTAATACCTACTTGATGTATCTGCTCGGTCCAATATATAATTCCCGTACCACTATTCCGCAAATAGGAAGGCCGTAGAACTCTACTCTCTGCCTCGTGTAACTGGTGGCTCATTCCAGGCCTTGACACTCCGCCAAAGTGGCCCGGGGAGGTGCGGTATCGTCAGTAAATACCTTAGGAGAGGGGCTTTAGAAGCACTGTGCTACCCGTAACTGCCCTCGCCTACCTCGTTTACTTCGCCTAAAACCACGATGCTTCGAGCAAACAATGCAGAGCTAGCTAAAGCTAAAGCTCGGTACCAACCTACTCCTATGCATATGTACTACATATGTATGTAATCTCCAGCTACAGCTCTATCTTCACCATCAGCAGACACCGCTTTCTGGTAGTCTGCTTGCTACTCATAGGTCACAACTTCTTGACATACCTTGAAGTACCTATTAG